TAATTTGAGGCAGAGTTTTGCTCTTTTTGTGCAGGCTGGAGTAGAGTGGTGCGATCTTGGCTCACTGCAACCTCCACCTCCCGGGTTCAGGTGATTCTCCTACCTCAGCCTCCCGAGTAGCTGCAATTACAGGTCCACCCCAACTCATCCAGCTAATTTTGTATTTTAGTAGAGATGGGGTTTTGCCATGTTGGCTAGGCTGGTCTTGAAGTCCTGACCTCCAGTAATCTGCCTGCCTCGGCCTCCCCAAGTGCTGGGATTATAGGTGTGAGCCACCATGCCTGCCCATGTTTGAAATCTTGATAGGGATTTGGATTGCTCAAGTGTGTCTATTTGTCGAGGTTCATCATGGGACACATTTACAATGTGTGTAGTTTTACCTCCAAAGAAAATAAATGCTGCAAATAATCATTGGGCTCTAGTTAATGAACCCATTATTCACATCCTGAAGCATTTAGGGGTAAAATGTACTGATGTCCACAATTTACTTTGAAATGCATCAAAAAATCAGATGGATTGATGGATGGAGAGAAGAGAAGGATGGAATGAAGAGAGGGATAGATATGATTTAAAGCGAGTATAGTTAAAGGTGGCAGGTATGTGGATGTTCACTGTACAATTCTTTTGACTTTTCTGTATATCTGAAAATTTTTATAATGGCACATTGGGGAAATTATGCCCCCCACGGATGGTATACACCTGGCAAAACAAAATCATAGGAACAAAAAGATATACATTATACAAGATGGAAGGCTGGGCGTGGTGGCTCACACCTGTGATCCCAGTACTTTGGGAAGCTGAGGCTGGAGGATTGCTTGAGGCCAGGAGTTAGAGACCAGCCTGTGCAACACAGCAAGACAAAGAGAGAGACAGAATGAAAGGGAGGGAGGGAAGAGGGAGGAGAGAGGGAAGGAGGGAAGGGAAGGAGGAATGGAGAGAGAAGGAAAGAAAAGAAGAGAAGGGAGGAAGGAAGGGAGGGGAAAGAGAAAGAGGAAGGAAGGAAAGAGAAAGAAAAGGGAAGGAGAGAGAGAAAGAAAGAAAGATGGAGTAAGGTTGAAATAGAATATAGAGATGAAAAGGAATGAATGATTGAATGAACAAAGATCCCATTGGCCTAATCAGAGCTTACACGCAGCCAGCTGTCACCCACGTGGCTGTGTTGACTGAAGACACATTGATGTACCTCCTTCCAGTTCATAAACAGCTTCTATCCCAATCCCGCCTCTGAGAGCCTCCAGCCTCCATGTCCCTCCCTGAGAACTCCAGAGGACCCTGATTCCATCCATTTCAGCCATGCCCTGGAGCTACAGCTGCATTTCTGCTGGATGTTCCAAGCCCAGAGGTGGCCTGAGCATTTTGAACATCTGGCTTGCAGTGAGGCCGCATGCGAAGCCAGAGCACTCTGTTCCCGACACTCTCGCTTGAGATCTTTACCTGCCCAGAGTCCATGGCTTCGGCCAGCCTCTCAGGGCTCAGCTCCGAGGAGGCCCCTGGCCTTCTGACCCACAAGGATAGCTCCTTCTGAAATGGGTTGGTTGGTGGGGTGGTGAGGGGAGCCCGGTGGGCAGCTGCCCTTCCCCGCACCCCCATCTTTGCACCCCTTACACAGAGCCGAGTGCTGGTCAGTGCCGTCACCTTCAGCTGCATGAAGCTGGGCTGGCTGAGGGGCTCCAGGAGGCTCCGTGACAGGTCCACACACCGCAGCATAACGCCGAGGTTCCCCTCGTAGCAGGCCTCACTGCCCAGCCAGCAGCCGTCAGGGCCCAACCTGCGAAGCCCCTTCCTGCGTCCTCCCAGCCTCCCTGGGCCCTGCCCCCTACTCACCCAGTCTTGGCAGCGGAGTCCGGCTCCTCCTCAGTGGGCACTGCCAGCAGCGGTCGGAGGCCGAGGGTCCGCAGCTGCTGCACGCAGTCCCTCACCTCCTCTGCTGTCTCACCAGCCACAAACTGCCCGTAGAAGGATGCTCGGAGAAGCGCTCCTGAGAGCCGGGAGCCCAGGAGTCGCTGAGACCAGGCCTGGAGCTGGGTGACAGGGAACGAAGGCTCAGCGCAGGTTGCGGGGAGACTTCAGGCTGGTCCTCGGGGTCACTGCTTACCGCCAACCCGTGGGTGACTAGCGGGGGCCAGGCACACAGCCGGAGAACCAGCAAGGCCCGTGTCAGCTCTTTCGTGTGCTTGAGTTGGAAGGCCCCGCCATCAAATCTCAGGGGCAGAAAGCCCCTGGAGGGGGGACCGGCCTGGGAACAGAGTGCGCGGCAGGTCTGGAGCATCTTGAGTTCCTGGCTGCATCCACACCAGGTGAAGGGGCTCTGGAGGCAGCAGGTTCACCAACTGCCCCTTGCCCAGGCTGGGGGCAGTGACTGATGGCACAGCTTCAGGATCACAGGCTTTTTGGCGGGGCAGGGGGGCGGGCAATTAATTATTAACCAATGGGGACAGAGTTCAGAGTAACGGTAACAGGAGGTGAACCCCCAGTAATAGCCTCCACAACCCTCAGCACAACAGCCTGCACTTATTAGGTGACTGCCATGTGCTGGGGAGAGCAGGGGCTCTGGGGCAAGGGTCCCTGGGTTCAGGACATTGGGCTTTGTGATCCGGGGCAAGCTACTTAACTACTTTTGTGGCAACTGCTTCCTCTTAAAATTGAAAATGCTGTAGTGTCATTGAATACATTTGAAAATATGGCTCTCACATTTATAATCTCAGCACTTTAGGAGGCCAAGATCAAGGAGTTGGAGGCTACCCTGGGCAACCTAGTGAGACCCCGTCTCTACAAAAAATACAGATGGCTGGGCATGATGGCATGCACCTGTGTTCCCAGCTACTCGGGAGGCCGAGGAAGGAGGATCTCTTGAGCCGGGAGGTCAAGGGTGCAGTGAGATGTGATTGCACCACTGAACTCCAACCTGGGTGACAAAGTGAGGCTCTGTCTCTAAAAAAAGAAAAAAGAAAAGACAAATAACCTATATAACCCAGTGGTTTCATGCTAACTACATATCCTGGAGACCTTGAACACGGATAGCAGGAAACATGTACAGGAAAGAATGTTCAAAGGAGCACTGTCTGAACCATCAAAAGGATGATGGATACATACACGGTGGTGTAGTTACGCAGTGGCGTACTATACAGTAATGAAAAATGATACTGATACACACAGCTGTGTGGCTGAATCTCACAATGTCAAGCGAAAGAAGCCAGGCACCAAACAGAGCAAGCTGTGTTATTCTTTTCAATAGCTATAAAAGCAAGGAAAATGAAACTACAGTAAAATTTTGGGAATACTTGTATGGGTGGTCAAACTATAAAGATAAGAAAAATAAGGAGGCGATTATCACAGAGGTCAGTGAGGTGGTTGATTTCCTGTGGGGATGGGAGGAGTTGTAACTGGATAGAGGCTTATGGGGGCTTCCATGTCCTATTTTCTTTTTTAAAAATGAAAACCATATGTCCTAGGTCTGTTTTGTTTTGTTAGAGTGATCATTGCTCTGTCGCCCAGGCTGGAAAGCAGTGGTGTGATCTCGGCTCACCGCAACCCCCAACCCGCAGGTTCAAGTGATACACACCTGCCTCAGCCTCCTAAGTAGCTGGCATTACAGGCACCCACCACCACTCCCCGCTAATTTGTGTATTTTTGTATAGATGGGGTTTCACCGTGTTGGCCAGGCTCGTCTCCAACTCCTCACCTCAAGCGATCCACCTTCCTCCTCCTCCCAAAGTGCTGGGATTACAGGCGTGAAGTCCTCGGTCTTAACATGGATGATAATTCACAGTTGTTCACATTGTAAGGTTTTGTTTTGTTTTGAGACAGAGTCTTGCTCTGTCTTCCAGGCTGGAGTGCAGTGGGGTGATCACTGCTCACTACAGCCTCCAACTTCTGGGCTCAAGCAATCCCCCCGCCACCTCCACCTCCCAAGTAGCTGGGATTACAGGTGCGTGTGCTCACACCCAGGACAGTTTTGACTGGGGTCAGTCACATGGGCATGGCTGACTGCTCGAATGACTGACCTTGTCTCTAGCTCCTCCAGAGCTCAAGCTGATACTACATGGCCCAAGGTCCCCAGATAAACAAAGATATGGGGTTTCACCGTGTTGGTCAGGCTGGTCTTGAACTCCCGACCTCAGGTGATATGCCCGCCTTGGCCTCCAAAGTGCTTGGATTACAGGCATGAGCCACCATGCCCGGCCTAAACAAAGATTTTTTTTTTTTTAGAGATGGAGTCTCACTGTGTCACCCAGGCTGGAGTGCAGCGGTGTGATCTTGGCTCACTGAAACCTCCACCTCCCAGGTTCAAGCAATTCTCCTGCCTCAGCCTCCCAAACATAAATACTCTTATCAAGAAGGATAGTACAAGGGCTTAGTGGTTTCCTCTCAGGAACTGAGCAATGTTAATCCTTTACTACACAACCCCCAATTCACAGATGTTAAAAGTGGAGGCTTAGGCTGGGTGCGGTGGCTCACGCCTGTAATCCTAGCACTTTGGGAGGCTGGGGCGGGCAGATCACCTGAGGTCAGGAGTTCAAGACCAGCCTGACCAATATGGTGAAACCCTGTCTTAAAAAAAGAAAAAAAAGTAGAGGCTCAGCCGGGCACGGTGCCTCACGCCTGTAATCCCAGCACTTTGGGAGGCGAAGGCAGAGGGATCACCTAAGGTCAAGAATTCAAGACCAGTCCAGCCAACATGGTGAAATCCAGTCTCTACTAAAAATACAAAACTTAGCTGGGTGTGGTGGCAGGCACCTGTAATCCCAGCTACTCAGGAGGCTGAGGCAGGAGAATTGCTTGAACCCCGGAGGTGGAGGTTGCAGTGAGCTGAGATCATGCCACTGCACTCCAGCCTAGGCGGCAAGAGTGAAATTCTGTCTCAAAAAAAAAACAAAAAGTGGAGGCTCAGAGAGATGGAGACACCTGCCTGAAGTCGCATAGCCAGTTGGCAGCCAAGTGCTGATTTAAGACCTCTTTCCCCCAGACACCAGACTGTAACTTTTTTTTTTTTTTTTGAGAAGGAGTCTCACTCTGTCACCCAGGCCGGAGTGGAATAGTACGATCTTGGCTCACTGCAACCCGTGCCTCCTGGCTTCAAGGGATTCTCCTGCCTCAGCCTCCTGAGTAGCTGGGATTACAGGTTTATATGCACCCACCACCATGCCCAGCTAATTTTTGTATTTTTAGTAGAGATGGGGTTTCACCAGGTTGGCCAGGCTGGCCTCAAACTCTTGACCTCAAGTGATCCGCCAGCCTTGGCCTCCTAAAGTACTGGAATTACAGGCATGAGCCACCACGCTCAGCCTGTAAGATTTTTACGACCTCTTTCTGCTGTCTTTTCTTTAGTACACGATCCACAGAGCTGATGGACAACAGCCAGAGTTAGAATCCAGCAAAACCTGAGCTAAAAAAGCCTTTTAATTTTTTTTTTTTTCTGTGGAGACAGGGTCTTGCTATATTGCCCAGGCTGGTCTCAAATTCCTGGCCTCAAGGAATTCTCGCACCTTAGCCTCCCAACGTACTGGGATTACAGGTGTGATCCATCATGCCCAGCCCGGAAAATGAAGCATTTAAGCTTTTATTTATTTATTTATTTTTTGAGACGGAGTCTCACTCTGTTGCCAGGCTAGACTGCAATGGCAAAATCTCAGCTCACTACAACCTTGAATCCCAGGTTTCAAGCGATTCTCCTGCCTCAGCCTCCTGAGTAGCTGGGACTACAGGCGCCTGCCACCACGCACAGCTAATTTTTATATTTTTAGTAGAGATGGGGTTTCACCAGGTTGGCCAGGATGGTCTCAATCTCTTCTTGACCTTGTGATCCGACCACCCTGGCCTCCTGAAGTGCTGGGATTACAAGCCTGAGCCAACCCGCTCAGCTGCCTTTAAGCTTTTTTTTTTTTTTTTTAATTACATACATGGTTCATATTTTAAAAAATTAAAATACAAAAGGAAGCAGAGTGAAAAGTTAGTCTTTCTCTCACTCCTGAATTTCTGCGCACCAATCTCTTCTCTCTAAGGCAACAGGG